AAAATATTTTGAAATAACTTTAAAACTTTTTATTATGAATTGTTGGAATGGTATACACAAAAAATGAATACTTTTAACTAATAAAACAATTTTGCAATTAAAATTTAATTTCTGAAATTTCATGAAATTAAGTATGTGGGGCATAATATATGTAAAAAAAATATTTTTACAAAGATTTTCTTAAAAGAAATTTAAAAAATAACTTCATTATTTGTGAATAAGTCCTGAAAGTTTCATTAAGATCTGACAATTGATTTTTGCAAGAATTTTCAATTCAGTGTGTTTTTTACCAGAAAACACATTGAACATGCACAATAATCTTTGGCCAACGGCTGACACACAAAAAAAAAAAATGAAGATTTTTAACCAAAATTTTTAAATGTACAAGAAAGAATTAAAAAATTTAAATTAATAAAAAATTTCTTTGGTCTTTCCTCTTAATAGCTTGAACATTTTGATGATAAAACTTTGTTTTTATTAAGTTTGGGTCCTTTTTTCATCATGCTATGCTGGTTTTTCAGCAAATTAGAGGAGGAGCCTACACTAAAGCACTACATTAATAAATATTTTACCAACAAATGTTACTTTGTTTCCATTACAAATAATTTCTCTTTATAATTACCTTTTGTAAAATTCTTTACAAGTGCTCTGTTAATAATAATAATAATAATATGATAAATCGATGACTCATAAATTCAAGCCATTATATTTCTTTTTGTTTTTGATTTTTGAATTATTAAAATATCTGAATATTCTTAAATTGTAAAGAAGCACTAGAAAATGTCCTAGGATTTGACTTAGGTCAGTGAGTGTGTTATCAGAAAACAAGAGTAAAACATCTTTTGATGGCACTTGAATACTCTATCTTCTGTTACAAATTGCATTGCTTTTTTTTTCATTGATGCACCATTCTTTAAAAGAACCCAATTTTCTATGTAATCAGGGAGTAGAATGCTATAAATGAGATTCTCACAAGGGAACAAGAGATAACATTATTGAGTTGGAAACATGGATGAAGAGGGTGGATGCTGCAGAAGAATTCTAAGATTAATTAACAGTTGGTTGCCACTTACATTGTAAGTGAAAAAAAAACAATGAATTTGTGGAATATTCAATGCAATTTAAACCCATGGTATCTGAAGTGAATGTTTTTGTTTCTCTCAGGTCAAACAGGCTACTTAGCTTCTTTTTATCATTCTCATCCAAAGAAATCATAGTAACACTTAGATCATACTTCAACACACACACCATACCACTAGCACCACAGTCTAAAATAGCACAATTCATTGGCCCTCCAACCAGTGACTCGTTATGACATGGTTTGCTATAAACAGATTGTGATAAGGTTATTTGGTAGTAGGTACCTTCTTCATCTTGTTAGAATATATTTTGTTCATTAAATTCTTCAATTGAGCATTTGTTAATGTAATGATTAATGCTCCCACATTCACACGCCTAGATGGGTTTCTGTTGTTGAGTAGTTTCACAGTGGAGGCTTGTATTTGTACTAAGTCGGTCCTAAAATAGGTTTGACGTACAAAATGTTAGGAACTTGATATAATAGGTAAAACACAGTAATCTAGTTGTGGTGGCTGATACTTTAATATCTGACTAATGGTCGTCCGGCATCGACTGACTGACCAACTCACTGAGCGACTACTACTACTCCTACTTATTATAGGTGGGAGAGTCTATTAACAATAGAATAGGTGTGTCCCACTATAACATCCCACCCCTAAAACTTTACTCTGTAGGAGTAAACAGTTTTATTTATTTATTTATTTATTTTTTTTTTAGCAACATCGTGGCATATCTCCTACGTTTTGGATCCACTTTTAAATGATCAGTTGCCTTTATTTTTTCTTCTGGATCAGGTAAAATTGTTGCAGGCATTGTTAGATCAAACATATTGAAAATCAGCTCCATCGGCGTTTTTTCCGCGGGACCGCTGTCAGCCACGTCTGAAAAACGTCATCTGATCTGGTTACTGCATGTGAATTTTTCCCCTTTCACCAAGTACATCATATAACCAATCCGCTTTTCTATTTATTTTTCATACCTCTATAGTGTTACCAGAAACAACATTCCACTTTGAGCTTCTTAAGGATGGAGTCACAGTTTCTGTAGGTTCTTCTTGTTGTTCTATTTGTTCAGCCTCTAGCTTTCCTTTTGTTGATCTTGTGCTTCTTAACATTTTCTGTGGTGACTTCAGTTGACTTAAGTCATTTAATAATACTGCATGTCCTTGGTTGTGGGTAACTTGCTCCCCAGTTTTTCTCGTGTCGGCTTCATCTTTACTTTCTGGAGCTTTTTTTTCACGTATATCATCGGTGTTACCCATTCAACTTTTTTAAATACAATCGTTTTCTAATCTGTCCAATTCTTTATCTATCTGTTCAATTGAAGCAAACAGCACATTCCTTTTCTTTTTGAATACCGCCTGAGCGTTTTCTTTTGGCTGGAATTTTGCCTCCATCTTGGTACACATTCCCAAACCTGGAGAAAAAACAGTAGGAAATGTTTCCTTAAGTTTCTTCACTAATTTTTTGGCTTCTGAGTTTAAACTTTCAACCTTGTAACAGAAGGAATTTATCAGTAGATCCCATAATTGAAATTCTGTTATCCAATTCGTATCAAGTAAGTTCATGGTATATTCTATGACAAATAGTTTAGCTTTTCGCGTGTTTTATTTAACATGACGTTTGTAACAAATTCTCCAATAAATTGTATTTTTTCTCCCATCACTGACCTCACAATTTTATTTGTTTTCATTAAAGTTGGTTTCCCCAACTTCTTCCACGTATGCAAATTTATGATAGATAGGTTGGAACCAGCATCGAGTTGCATTTTTATTTTTTTATTACTCATTTTGACGGTAACACTTTTGATGGTTATTCCATCGTTCACCTCGTCGGACTTTAATTTTCTTATTTTATTGTCTTTATTTTTTGACCTACAGTGCGAGCTTTTAAGACCCACTCTTTTACAGTTGAAACATTTTTTATTCCTAAAATTGCAATATCTGTACCAGTGAAGTTTACAACAAGCAAAACATGGCTTTGGGAGTTTTTGTTTATTTTTCTCTGGTATTTCACTTTTTGCTTGATAATCCGGAATTTTAGAATTCTTTTTGGTAGACTGACTTTCTTTTTTGTAGCGTATTTTCCTTACATGTAAAACACCAGACTGTTCTATCTTTTTCGAATCTTTCTTTACACTAACATATTTTGTGCAGTCTTCTGCCAACTTCTGTATCAAAATCCTTGGTTCGTTTTCTAATTTTGACAGCACTAATTTTATCAACTCTGCGTCTCTTTCCGATACCAGCTCTTGAACAAACACTAAGCACTTAAAATTGTCAGTGCTTAACTCTGCTAGCTTGAATTTTTCACAATGCTTATTCACATTGGCTGCATACATTATATAGTCTTGTTCGTCATCTTTCATCAGATTCAAACATTTCCACCTCTTGTGAAACAAAGATGTCTTTTTACTAAATAATTCACTTAATATATTTACCAACTCGGTAAATGTCAACTCGCTAGTTTTTTTCGGTAAAATGTAGTTTTCCAATTTGTTATGCTCAGCAGTTCCTAACTTGCTTAAAAGAAGTCTAACCTTCTTTCCTTCAGACCACGTGTGGCAGTCCTTGTTATACATGTCTGTATATTTTTTATAATACTCTTCAAAAGTTATCTCTTCATCTGGACTGTACATGAATATTTCAATTGAATTCCATATTGTATTCTCTGGGAAAGAATCATTTTGTAGATTTTTCTCTTTCTTCTTCTCAGTTATTTCCAGAATTTTGTTTTGAAACTCCTTATGCAACTGTTCCATTTCTCGTTGAAACTGCATCTGTCTATTAAAAGTTTTCTCCTGTAGTTGCATCTGGAATGTTTTCTGTTGCTCTAATATTGTCATCTGTTGTTCCGTCTGGAACTTAAAAAATTCCTGAAATATACTTTTGCATTCCTCCATCTTCACAAAAAGTTTACACAATGCTTAAATATTGTAGACAGGGGTCCTACGAATTTGCAATTCATGACCTATTTGAGCAAACTGTCTTATCGAAAAAAAAAATTCTTTTCTCAGTTGAGAATACGACTGATTTTTTCGTCACTAAGTTGACGTCTTGTCTTTCAAAAAACTTTGCCGATTTTTTTTAAATGTGAATCCGAGATGTTGTCGCCGAAAATTGTGACGAGCAAGTTTTTTTTCTTTTTCCTCAGTATGAGTACGAATTTCATCATTTCGTTTTTTTTCTTCCACCATATGAATCCAAATCCCTTCGACAAATAATACTGTCGTGAACGCAATTTTTTTTTTTTCCTCCGTATGAGTTTGAATACTTGTGGCCAAATTTGTTATGGCGGGTGAAATGTTTTTTTTTTTTCTTCCACCGTATTAGTTCGAATCCTTGTGGCTAAGTGTGTTATGGAGTACGAATGTTTTTCTTCCTCCGTATAAATCCGAATATGTTCATCGCCAAGTGTTGTAGAGTAGTTTCACAGTGGAGGATTGTATTTGTACTAAGTTGGTCCTAAAATAGGTTTGATGTACAAAATGTTAGGAACTTGATATAATAGGTATAATGCAGTAATCTAGTTGTGATGGCTGATACTTTAATATCCGACTAACGGTCGTCCGGCATCAACTGACTGACCAACTCACTGAGTGACTGCTACTACTCCTACTTATTATAGGTGGGAGAGTCTGTTAACAATAGAATAGGTGTGTTCCCCTATAACAGTTTCCAAATCAATTAAAGGGATATCTCCCCCCCCCCTTCCACTGAAATCCAACTCTCCTATTGTATGGTCTTTGATATTTCCAACCACAAGTAGGTCTATTATGGTATTGACCATGTCTATACAGCCATAGAAGATATCTGTTTCCTCAAATTGAATATTGTCTTTTACTTTTATGATGTGCACAACAGATGAGCTCTGCATTGATCAGGAAATAAAGAATAAGAAAAACTAGGGTCTGGTGTTTACTTTGGAAATAGTAGAATGTCCCAAAACATCATCAGGACTTGTTGGTTCCTCAATCCAAACCGGTTTAAAGACTGCTAGTTTCTTCATCCACTCAATAGATTCTTGCACTTCCCACTTCTGGTTGGCATCAGTCATCTGAGTAAAGCACATAAAAATAAAATTATTTAACCATATAAAGACAAAAAAGTTGTTTCCCCCAAAATGATTTTTGACCCCATTCAAAATATTCTATTTGATAAAACTGGAAAGAGATAAATTTCTGATACAAGATGGTCCATTATATTTTTATTAAAATTTACTTTCCTTGGAGCCTTATCCCTGAAGTACTTGCATGTTTCCGCCAGGAATCAGTGTTCAAGATTTGTAAGGTTGGTTTTCAAGGTTATCAAACTGCCCTCAATTTAAAAAAAATTAATAATTAAACAAGTTTAATACATCAATTTGTGTGACAGATCATTGTTGTCATCATCAATTCATTAACATTTTTACTTCTTTCATGAATCAGTTTATAATATTTAATAAACTGATTCATCTTTAAACTTTTCTAGGTTGGTGATCATCATCTTAGTGGTAGGACTGCCAAAATATCACCCAAACATCTTTACTTTTTGGTTGTTGAGTTCTTGATTTAAAATTTTGATTAGATGAAGAATGAGAGGATGAGAATACATTTTTGTCAGTTGGACACAAACCAAGTGAAATACAACTTTCACATCCTGGTTCTACCCAATTCAGTCTGGTCTCAACTGATTGAATCTCAATTCTCCTGAATCTCCAAATGGTTGAATACCCTCTCCTCATGATTAAAAGATAATTACAAGTATGAATCTCATGTAATCTGTTTTGTTTTCATTAGCCACACAGTCAAATATATTACAATATGGCTCTTTCCACCAGCTGAATTACTAGGTGAGCCAAGTAGTATTATCCATAATATGCTCAAAGGAGCATATTATGGATAATATCTTCAAGAATTTAGAATTTCATGTCTGATTTTTATTTTGCAAAAATATGTTCTTTTTTTTATCATCTTCAGATAAAACTTAGGATTGCACCTGATGATGGTTGGAAAATAATATGGGCATGATCATATTTCAACTTCTGGCAACCAGCTGCCTGATTTTGAAAATGGCAATTTTCTTAACAGTTAGTAGTCACAGGAAAATGATATTACTGATAAAAAAAACTATTAGGGTGTTCAGAAAGTAATTACATATTTCACCACTACAAAGTATGAGCTGTAAATTGTGTCTAGAATTAGTTTATCATATCTTCTATCTAAAAATGTGTCATTTAAAGAACATTTCAAAGTTTAATTGGAAAATCTTGCAAAGAGGGAATTCAGGTTTCTCATCAGCAATTGCTTGAGAACCAAAGACAATGTTCCATTATCTGCAGAAGTCAGGAATGCCGATTTTTCATTTTTGTACCACATTGTTTGAGGTGATTAAAAAATATGTTTTGAGTGTCAATGGGGGGTGCTTATCACAAAATGAGAACCCAATGTCAACCCAATGTCAAAACTCAAAACCAGAACTCCATCCACAGAAGTAGTTGCTTTGTAAATGGTGGAATATGAAAGTCATCATCCTTTAAGAGCTAATGAAGCATTGAAGGATTATCACTGCAGATGTTGATGGCTAACAATTTGATCAGGTAAACAAAGCATTCCATTGAAAGTGTCCTGCTTTGCTAAACAGAAAAGGTGTTATTCTCCAGTATGACAATGCAAGGCACACTCTACAAAACAAACCCAAGACAATATCATTATGATGGGAGGTTCTCTCCTATCCACCATACCACATTTAACACCTACAGATTTTCATTTGTTTCCATCACTAGAATATTTCATAAGTAGCAGAACCATCAAAAACAAAAAAGTTAAAAACAGTGTTTCAAATTATTTCAGGGGAAAATCCAAATTTCTTTAAACATACAATTGAAAATTTGCCTTGCAGTTATTGAAATTGAAGATGATTACATTTTCAGTAAATAATATTTAAATAAATTTAATATATTTGTTTTTATATCCTTTCGGGTAAAATGCAATTCCTTTCTGAAAAGCTTAATCAATGCTGTAAGCAGACCAAATACGAAATGAAACTCGAAGGAAGCATGTATTTTTTTTTTTTTTGCAGAAATTTGTGCTTCAGATGTTAACTTGCTGAAATTTGATCATGAACAGCACTTATAAGCTCTTTACTCTGCTTTCAGGTTACACCACTTTAGGGTGTGTTAGCCCACACAGTATACCACTAAGAAATGGCATGTCTTAGCTGTAAAGAGTTGAACTATTGGAACTAAAGAATGGAGTTCATCTAAACCTCAGTCTTGACCTTTTCAAGTCAAGGGTCAATTATTATCTTTTCCAAACTGCCACGTGATGATAGTCTGAAAACTGCTGAATTCTAATTTACATTGAAAATAGTGAACTAGTAAAGTTTTAATTGTGAAAATTTTCACAATACCATTTCCCTCAAATCTCCAAATAATTCAATCAAAATCTTCATAATACCAAAATCTTTTCTGGTCCAATTTCCTCACGGATAATGTGACATCTTCGAATATCATCGTCTATGTTGGATCCAACTTTTACTTTAAATCTGGAAAACAAACAAAAAGAATTCTTGAAAGAGACAGAAAAATAATATTGTTCAATTTATGGAGTAATACTGAATATTTGCTTTGTGACAAAACTTATTTCTTGGATATCAAGTAAGGGTTATTAAATTCACTTAGCTTTTAGCAAATATAAGACTTGAATATTCAAGAAAGATTTCATCTCAAAATTCAATTTTATTGGCTAAATAGTATGTGCATTGTTGCTGTCACAATTCTATCCTTAATTAAAACTGGCACTAATCTACTAACCAATGTACTTTAGAGTAAGTATGTCTTCATATGCAATCTTAGTTTATTATTCTTCTGCACACATACATATATACACACATCCAAATATAACAAAATAAATTGGATTTGAATTTGGAAGATATTTTAGCCTACTATCCTATGAATTTGCAGGGACCAGTTTCGTTGCTTTATGTCTTTATCATAATCTTTTTGTCTTTCCTGGTTACATTCCAAGAGTGTCAAAAGGAACACTATGCCATCAATGGTGATCTCTTGTCCCTATTCCTATTCTGTCTTTTCTTGTAAATTTCAAAACTCATAACCATTAATTCCTAATGATGCACATGTATATTTCTGCATGTGTCAACAACTGAACTTCTATAGAACCAGTAATTACCTTTCCGAGCACTCTAATCAATGCCATAAGAGTCTCTCTTCCAACATTGATTCATTAGTCTTAAGGCTTCAAAATCCACTTATGTCCATTCTCTCTGAATAAGTAACTGTAGCTAAAATTTTATTGGAAAGTGCAATAAATCAGTGACAGTAAAACATTCCAGAAATTCCAATTAAACAATTTCTCTAAGAGAAGTCTTCTTTAACCCATAAACAGCTAGTAAAAGGTTATACAAACATGTATGCCAAATGGGTAAAAAACATGAAAAAATAATTTTTATGGTAGTTTTAGGTTATTTTTCACTTTAGCAGTATCCAAAAAATATATTTTAACAATTTTAAATTATAAAAAATAAAGAAAAATGGGAATAAAACTAATGTTAGGTTTCTTAAAAATATCACAAAAATCCACCATGGCCAAATTATTTTTTGCAGTACTTTTTGAACCAATTCCACATTTAGAAAATTTAACAAGCAAAGGTATCACATCAAATTGAAATTTTTATTAACCATCTGGCTTTCTTTTAAATATCTTTCTCTTTCAAATAAGTGTAAAAGAAAAACCTAGATTATTATAATATTTATTATTTTTTATCTACACTTTTTTAGTAATTATTTATTTAATTTACATTTTTTTAATATGAATTTTATAGTAAGTTGACCTTAGTTAAAGTTTCTGGGTGAGAGCATATGATCCAGCAAGATCAGTAATTGAACAAAACCAGTACGCTAAAATTCTCAATGTCTTCTGAACAGTTTTGTCCATCCAATTTTGCTTACAAAGCTTGGGTTAACCCATGGAATGGTTTTTCTGCATGCTTGGATTGTATCCTCAAGCAGATATTAGTAAGAAGACAAATTGACCAATGTGGGTTTAGAACCCATGTCTCATGGTTGAAATTCTCACACAGCCAAAGTTTTATTACATCTTGAATATTACAACAAATACTTTTTCCTGTGCTTCTTTTAAATTGTAGTGTTTGTTGGAAGGATGTGTAATGATGTCCTTGTAGCAAAACTGTGAAATCTGTTTTGTAATTTCAGTTTAAAGTAATTTCATATTCAAAATCAATTGCTTAACAAGCTGTTTATTTCTGTAAATCAGAAAATCAACCTTTTGAAAAAAAATGCCCCAAACTTAATCTTAATAAAAACAAAGTTTTATTGTCAAATTTTTGTTATTATTATGAGGAAAGACCAAGGGATTTTTTCATTAAGAAATTATATTTTTTTATTTTTAGAAACTTTGAAATTTCGGCATTATTTTGTGGTTCAAAACTCACTGATTTGGAAATTCTTGCAAAGATCAGATAATTGTTAAATTTCAATGAAACTTTCAGGACTTATTTACAAATGAATTAAATTATTTTTTAAATGATTCTTTTTTTAGAAAATCTTTGTAAAAATAATTTTTTACATCTGTTAACCCCCACTTATTTAATTTATGAAATTTCAGGAAATTCTTTTTTGTAGTGCATAATGTTTATATTAGTTTTAAGCACAAGTCCTTGGAGAATTTAAATCATCAATTTTTTTTTTTTTGTAAAACAGTACTCACAGTTACAGAAAATCTGTTCTGAATAGTAAAAAATGCAATAAAACTAAAACATTAATTAGAAAAGTTTTTAATTGTTTTTTATGACACTTGTTGTTTTCTTCAGGAAAAAGATGTTTTGATGAATAATTCATTCTTAAAAGAATTTTTTTTCATTTTAAAAAAAATTTAATTAGTATAAATAAAGTAGTATTAAATCTTTTTAAAATGCTGTATCAATTTATAGTGGTCAAGTGATATTGTTATTAAATTAAGAATGTATTCACTAATTGTATATGGAAAAGCTCACTACAATTCAATGACACCAATATTTTAAAAATAATTTTTAATTTATTTTATATGTGTACAAATGTGTCAATTATTTTAAATATGGATGTCCAAACGTGTCCTTATCAGAAAATAAGAACGATAACCATAGTAAAGTTAAAATTTATTGGTAATTTTCTAACATTCCCTGAACAAGCATCTTCATCAGTTAGACTATAAAACCAAAGTACCTAAAATTCAATAAAATATTAGATTGCTTAGAATATTTTCTTAAATTTTTAATATTACTGGGTAGTTATTTACATTATATTCGTCAAATAATTTAATAAGTTTTGTCACTCTTAGAAAAAAATTCACAAACATGTCTGTCAAGAAATATGTCGACATCTCATAAAAACACCCAACTTCTTGTTAAAAAAATGCTTTTCTGTGATATTTAATAAACTAGAAGTAAGTAATATTTGTTTCAATTCAGAATAATTAAACTTTAAATCAGCTAATCTTCCTTAAATAAAATTTCAGAAAAGTATATGAGATTATGCTGTGTTGACAATATGGCCGATTTTAGTGATGTAAAAAACATAATTTTTTGAAATACAGCAAATATTTTACTTATTGGAAATATTAAATTTAATTTATCAGTTTCTAATTACAACTAAAAACTTCAAAAAAGATTTTTCATTTTTAAAAATATAGAAATCATTACATGAATAAATGAATAAACTTACTGAGTGAATCCTTTTGTAATGGCTTCTTTGCACAGCTGAATGCCAAAAGAAGAAATGTAGGTTAATAAGGAAACATTCAAGTTATTCAGTCCCATACAAAACAAACTCTATTAAACATTTTAAACAGGGTTTTATGGGCTCCCACCAAATCTATGATATGGTGTCACCCATTCTATTACATGTCAATTTTTATAAAGTAGTATCCTAATTTTATTGTAACCTAATTCTGTACAATATTGGATTATATACAATATAGGTGAACAATTTAACTAGAAAAATTGAAAATAAATACAATTAGTAAATACATATTAGAGACATGTCATAATATACAGGGTACGATGGGTAAATTGTCACCATTTTATATTTTTAATTTCATACATACGCATTGTTTGTTTTTTGATTTTGTCAACTGCACAGTATAGTAGGGTCAGTTGGGCACCGTCAGTGAGAAAAAGAGTCCCATGATGCAATTTACTCTGCCAGAAATTTGGAAACAGCATGCTCTACTGCTTGGCATTAACACCAGAAGCTCCAATACAAACATTTCAGAGTGTTTGGGTGTCACTCTAAGAACAGTGCAGAGGATTCAGAAAGAGTTGGATGAGTCTAATGGTGATTACGCAGGTATGGCAGCTTGGAAAACTCATTCTGATTGTTTTTAATAAGAAGAGAACTGGATTTGTTGGTGAGGGCATCAGACTCAACACGAAGGCCTATATCAACTGCTTTGTTGAAGTAGTGCTGCTCTGTTGGAAGTCCCTGTCTGCCACACAAGAATTAGAACCCAGTCATGTCTGTCAGACAATTTCTGCGCCTACATCACTCCTTGCATCTGGCCACCTAACTACCCGGACTGCAACCACCAATTGATGTGTGAGGCGCAGTTGAGCAAGAAGACCAGCAAAACTCCTTGTGACACCAAAGATGAACTGAAAGCAAGGACTACAGCAGCTTTCACCAACTTAAGGAGACCATCCAGAAAAGTTGCAGAAGATTCCGAAGTCATCTGGAGGCCGTGGTTGAAGCCAATGGTGATTTTATTAAATAAATTTACTCTTTAGTATTTCAAGATATTTTTGTGTAATTTTGATAAAATATCTGTTAAAATGAGATGTCAGTGTTATTTTCATTTTTGTGTAATTTAGACAGCAAATTGTCCATCACACCCTGTAAAATAGATCATTTCATCTTAAATAAGTCAACAATGTTTTGCGGCAATTCTTAACAGCAACTTTAGATTTTTCAATATTATTGAAAAAGTAGTGAATTTTATGTAGATTTTTATCAAGACTTAGCATAAGCAAAAAACAAATTCACTGATTTGGACAAAAAAAAAGAAAAAAAAAGAAAAAGAAACCTAAGATGGCATAAAAATCTGCGAAAATTTTTCATCCTTTTAATTGTTGTGTTTAGTGTAATTTGTAATGCATATAAAGTAGAAAAAAAAAGAAAAAGTAATATTGATATGGGCCACAAAGCACTCCCCCGAGTGTTCGGTTGGGTGGTTTGAATGTAGTATACACTGGTCCTGATTTTAAAAACTTACTACAGGATATCAGCTAAAAATAAAATGTATTGTAAAGCTTCAACATTTACTCTTACTGAAAATATCGAAGAAACACAGTGAATATGGAAAACTTTTTTTGAAATAAATAAATTGTTTAAAAATAAAATGAAAAAAAACTAAAACTAATAAAGACAGTCAATTACAAACTCTTACAAAATTTTATTTTTTAGCACAAATATCTGTACTTCACCCAAATTTGCTAGTTTAATTTTTGTTTAATACTTAGAGTAATTATTTAACCAAAAAAAAAACAAAAAACAAACTGTGAGCTGGATTGACGAAGGTAAGTGGGATAACAGATTGTAAAATGCATTGTTAAATACATTGGAAGTTAGAGACATTTTATTGTGCCAAAATGAAGCTTGTCAAGCAAATACCGCTTACGTTTAGGATAAATCATGATTGTATTCAAGGAAAGTAAAATTCCAAGTAACGTAAGAATGACAAATTCAGAGTAATATATGGATGACAAAATTAGTCTTGATAATTTTAACATTTGCAAACCAATGTTACATTTATTTTGTAGGTAAATTCTACATATGCATTTAACTTTAACATCTTCAATTTTCGTATTGATGTACATTTTATGCTGAAAATATTTTTACTCTTAAAGAAAACTTTGATTGTGTTGTGTGCTGAGTAGAAAAACAATTTGCATATGAGGAACAAAAATGTCCAATGTTTACCTGCCGTATCTTCTCATCAGGATAGCCTAACCATCCACAGGAAGTTGTATATGCAGGATAACCCTCTTTGAAAATGTATTTTTCTATAAGTAGAAATATCACAATGTAAACAAGATTTACCTGACAAATATATAGCCAGGTGATTTTTTTGTTGTGATTTTTTTTACATATTATTAAAGGATTTCTTTAATGATATTTCGCGAGAGAATGGTAGAATGTACATTTATGTTGGAGATAGCTAGCATAAGCATAGTGCTAGTATTGTTATCGAATGAGAGGTTTTCTCGAACAGAAGATAAGAATGAAATTCCAACAGTATCGTACATATAAGAACTTTACATTGCTTTAAGAAAAGTAATCTGGATATAAAAGATGTAAATGGAAGTACAATGTCATTATTTGTGCATGTACGGTGTGTGTAAAGTTACATTGTAGATATAAATTTATATTAAAAAATAAATGAAATGTAAAATTATATAAAAATAAAGGGTACATGAAAAATAATTTTTTTTTTATTTTTTTTTTTAAGCATTTCACCCCTAGCAAGTCGGGAAGCCACTAGCATGCAAGGGTTTAGAGGATTTGGAGCGAGAGCAGGTAGGAATGATAGAGGAAAGGATGAGGAGAAGGATAGTGGATAGATCAAAGCAACTGGAGATGTCGATTGACATTACATTTGAATAGAGATTAAAGCTATCAGAGAAACAGGAATAGAGAAGGGAGTTCCACAGGCGAGGGGTGCGAGACATGAAGCTATTGGAGTAGAAGAGACGGCTACATTTAACAGTTTCAACAGTGAAAGGGTGAGAGCGGGATGCCAGCAACATAGGGCGCTTGAATTCGCGAAGTCTGGGAACCCGCAAAAGCAGCTCAAAGGAGCAATTACCATGAAAGTATTTGTAAAAAAGACAGAGAGGCGACGGCGCGTCTGTAAGAGAGAGACTGCAGACGAGATGCCAGATTGGGGCCAATTATATTGCATATCCGCCTCTGGATCTTATCAAGAACCCCGAGGCAAACAGTAGGGGCTCCAGACCATATATGGCAGCAATACTCCATGCAAGGGCGAATAGTTGATTTGTAGATTTGAAGGATCGATTCCACGGAGTAAAATTTCCTGGCGCGGCACAGGGAGCCAACTTTCCTTGCGGTGGACGAAGCAATTAACTCAATGTATTTGTTGGGAACGACCTTCAATTCGCGGTTGGACAGAAATGATTGTATTATGTCAAACAATCGACCTGTAATACCATAACCCTGGAGCTTGCGAAGAAGGCCAGCATGCCAAACCCTATCAAACGCTTTGGAGATGTCTAGGGCCACGGCACGAGCTTCTCCGTTATTCTGAAGAGCTTGGCAGACAATTTCAGTGATGGCCATAAGCACATCAGCTGTAGATCGGGCAAAGCGGAAGCCATATTGCCTGTCTGAGAGCAGATTATGGGATGTAAGGTGGTTAACCACTTCGGCGTTGATTAAAACTTCGAAGACTTTGCCGAAGAGAGGAAGGAGACTGATAGGACGGTAATTAGAGGGGTCGCAGGAGTTCTTAAAGACAGGAACAATCGACGAGGACTTCCAGCAGTCTGGAAAACAAGATTCCCTGAGGCAGTAGTTGTATAATTTGGAGAGGGCAGGCGCACATTACTTCAAGACAATGGCTGGTATCCCATCTCCACCACTAGCCTTGTGGGGGTCTAAATTGAGATAATTCCCAATGACGGGGTTATGTGCAAGTCGCTCAATAGGGCCTCAGTTCTAAGAGGGAAATCGGGTATGGGTACACTGCGTTGAATTGAAAGAAAATTTCCGTGCAAAGCATTCAGCCTTGTCGGCAGAGGAGGTCAGGACCTCAAACTGGTTGAATAAAGGAGGTATAGAGGGTTTGCTACTGTTTAGTACGCTTTTGCAGAGACGCCAATAATCCTTGGAGCCGAATTTTCGAGAAGTGATACGTTCCTTCATTCGAGCAGCAAATAGTGACCTAGCTTCGTTGAGGACACGCTTACACTCGTTACGGGCAGAGGCAAGGAGACGTCTGTTGCAGTCAGACATATCGCTACGATAGAGGTGGAAGAAGTGGTTCTTATGGGCAATGGCGACTGAGCAAGCAGCAGAAAAGCAGGGGGAGGAGCGCGATTTGACCTTTAATTTCCATGAGGGGATGAAAGCGTCGATTCCAGCTTTGACCCAGGAGGAGACCTCAGAAGCACATTCTTGAACGGGGAGCGTAAAGACAACATCACAGGGGACATCGCGGAGGAAATCACGGAACGAGTCCCAGTCAGCTTGTTGATAGCAGGACGAGGTTCTAGAGGTAGGAAGTTCTTTGCAGGGGGGTGGAGTTGAAGGAGATGTTGACCGACATTACAGCGTGATCGGAGTTACTGAGAGGGCAGAGCTGCGAGGCACTACAAGACTCGGGGATGGAGGTAAAACACAGATCCAGAAGAGAGGCCTGGTTGTAGGCAAAACGCGTGGGGAAGTCAACTATCTGCGTGAGGGATTGAGAGACTGAAAAATTGAGGCTTGTTGCTTTTGAGGAAAGTGTGTCGAAAATTGTGGCTGAGTTTTCCTAATAATTCTTTTATCGGAACTTCAGAAATAAAACGAACTGACTCAAAGTATAAAATAAATAATATATTTTTATTTATTTGATTTAGAACGAGTCTATTGATTTTCAGGTTAACAAAGTTCGTTATGAGTCCGATCTTATTAGCAGTCGGAAGAAAGTCTATTTCTTTTCGGTATTCGATAATTTAAGAGTCAGAACTTGGTAGCAGTAGTCATATTAGAAATAAGTTAACGCCAATCTACTGTGTTTTTCTCGGCCCTAAAAGGGACAGAAAATATTATTAGCATATGATGCCTTAACTATATTACGCATGGCTGGTTTAGTCTCGTGTTCCGATTGGGCTCCCAGACTACTGGCGCGAACCTTGCTTTCGGCTAACATCAAAAGTCTCTTTGTGTTAATTTTTTGATCGGCGTTTCTTTTCTTTTTATAGCGAAAGTTATGCGTGGAGCCTCCTTGATTTTTGGTAGTCACAAATGAATAAACTCTGGTCCCACAAACGTCTACCGTTTTGCGGCCAGGTCTAATCTTTTCTTCCTCTTTTCATTTATTTGAGGTTTGCCTGCTCGTTAGTTGAAAGAGAAGTATATATAGAAAGGTTTAGAAAGAGAGAATCAGATAAGGGTCTTAAAGGAAAGTGCAAATACTTTATTTTAATTTGAATTCTTTCTTTTTTTGGTTTATATATATATATATATTACTTTTTTATTTTATTTTATTTTTATTGGGACTCACTACAAGTGTTTAAAAGCATTTATTAATGGATGTAAGTTAGTAATACGGTGTCTTTAAATAGGAAAATGAAGCCAAACGGTTAGTAAAAAGTCGGTTAAAGAAAATTTGATGAGTAAAGATCTGCATATGTTTGATGTTGTTAAAAAAACGCTAAAATTAAATCTGACTGATTATAAAAAAAAAGTTACATGTATAAAATTGAAAGAGGCCCAAAACCCAAAAAATAAAATTTGAGAACAAGTGTAGTTTAAAGAGATACATATTGTGATTTTTTAACCAATGGGAAAAGTAAGTAACGGCCTATAGTTTTCAATTTTATTATTCAATTTTGGAGCCGATTTGTGGCTATTTAAGATGTCTGGTTTGTCTAAGAACCAGTAGGGATTTAGCTTTCACAGAGAAATGATCGTGGGTTGTTTCTCGGAACAAAGAAAAACTAAAAGTCGACGACGATGAAAAGGAAGTAACAAAAGAAAATAACTCAGAAATGTCGTCGACTTTTAGTTTTTCTACGAATTTAAAGAGATATGCAGTTATTTTCTATAGCTGTGAATGTTTGTCACAAAATTAGAGGTATTAACACTGATTTTGATCTTTTTATGAAAATACGATATTTGTCACATTGTTGAATCTCAGTTTGTAAACTGGACTATTGTCTGAAATATAAACCCAAATACGCCTATTTATTACCATCTTTCTCGTCTTCTCCCAGACAGGAAATGAGACACGATTTGTCCTTACGGCATCCTATGGGAAAAATAGAGTTTGTGCTTTTTTTTTTTCTTATACAGTTTTTTGACAGCAATATATAGTGGTCGTTGGCAGATGTTTCCTGGCAGACAAATGGGGTAACAACCATTAATACTGGCGTGATGCCATCGCCACACATTATTTTTCATAGCATCTTCATTTTTTTTTTTTTTTTTTTTTTTTTTTGCTTTTTATCAGTATATTCTCTGGCTTTTGAACTAATTTGCATTTCATGTTACAAGAGCTTGTTGTATCGTTTAGTAATGTGCCTATAACATATTTGAGATCGCCACCACCGACAGACATTTGGAAATATTTTCCTTCCTACTTTAACTGCTTTTGTTCCTATTTACTCCATATAACAACATTACACAATAGACAACACTTTCACTGGCTATTATAGAGGATAATATGGAAGGAATAGATAAAAAGTGACATAGGTATGTCAGTATGGTAACGTGAACAAAACAAATTTTCCAAGCTGAAAAAGCTGACCGTTTTTACAATCCTTCATCGAACTCTGTAAATTTGCAATACAAAATTGCAAATAATTTTAGCAAACAACAAAAATCAAATTACTTGAAAACTGCCAACCACAACAACAACTAAAGAATGGAAAATAATGATACAATCAAGATTTTTACTTTTCACACTACATTAGATAAAAAGTTAGGAAGGAAACCCCCTTAATACTAGAAAAAAACGATAACAGTGGACTTGAAATGTCTATTTTCCTAAAAAACTGTTTTTAGTAAATATTTTATAATTAAAACCAAACATGAGTATATAAAATAGATGAAAGGTGTTTTTACTGTCGCGTAATGTATTGCAAAATAAAATGAAAAACATTTTATGGAAGTTATCAAGAACTGAAATGTTGTACGCACCTCTTTTGGATTTGTCACGTTGCATCTCCTTGAGAATTTCTGCAAGCAAAAATGAACTCCAAATTTTATTTTCATATGCTAACTGTTCTAATAATTTTAACATGTATAGATTTGCTCGCGTGTTCTGAACAGCTAATGAACTTAATAACTTTAATCACCTTCCCCGTTTTCAAGCCCCTCAAGTGTTGTGTCACACACGCATTCTCCCGACACAAGAAAAAATGAATATTCAACTTTTTAACAAGAAAATAAAATGTTTATCGCTTCAGACTTCCAATGAACTAACTTTGAAATAATATTATAAAATAATTTCTTTGCTTCAAAAATTTAGAATGACTGTTGTCTATCAAGAAAAACTGTCGAATTTTATCTTGCATTTTATTATTATTGTTTTTCTCGCATCGCTCAGGTTGTTTTCAATTCTACAACTGTTAAGCAAGCAGTGCAGGCAGAATGTAATGAAATTAAATCTGACGAAATTGAAACTTGTCTCTCATATCCTTGGAAACCCATATGATATGGGCGACACCATGCCGATTTGATGATGGAAACAAAGTAGTAAGGGAAGTTCAAATGCCGTCGTATAATTACATTGTTTTTCATACATTTTTCACATTATATTATTTGTTTATACCTCGTAGAAGCAGTCTTACATAATTTAATGTTTTAGATGAAGCATTTTCATGAATTTCGACTTGTTTTATCTTACATCTTATTATTGTTGCTTTTTATCGCTCAGAATGTTTGGCGTTTTACGACCTTTATGCAAACCGTATAAATGGGAAATAACGATTAAAGATATATCTAATCAAAAGTAATAACGAAAATAAATTCACACGAGACAATTAAAATAATTTGTTCAAGCATCGCATAAGGCGCCTGTCGTAGTGCACTGCTGATGGTGTCTATGATCTATTGCCATGAGTCTGATTTTCTTCTTTTTTTTAGACAAAACCAAATTGAATAAATATTTCCCCTTTTTAACTCTCATAAATAAATAAAAACGTAAATGAAACTTTACCAATTGCTTCATCTGGAGTCAGTACATCGTATCTGAAAGAATCAGAAAAATGTTTGCAGTATTCATATATGACCGCAAAGAAGAATAAAATCTGAATATTTTTAGTCAAATACTTTTACTTCGAGACTTTTCAGTAGTCTATACGTGACACAATGGATCCCCGTTAGATTGGCTTAGGACACAGACGAAATCAAGTGGGTTGTAAATATTCTGAACCTGAAGCGCTGGTGTTCTAAGACAATCAACTATGTCTAGATATGGGCTTCAAAGCGATCACCCGCCATTCACAAGTAGGAAAATGAAGTAAATAAATAAAAATTTTGGGGATCAATTGTCACACGAGAGGAAGGTAGAGAATTCCGGTCCTGGGCTTATATAGTGAAACCACATTCAAAATGGCGTGTGATTGAGTGGTCAATAATACCAGAGGGAAAAAGCCGTTTGTCGTGATGCAGAGATAGGTTGAGGAGATGTAGGAGAGAGACGGTAGTCAGGGGCTTCTCACGAGCTGTCAGTTGAAATGTAAAGACAATTGCAATCAAAGATGAGTAGAGAGGCAGTACAAGTTCCTTCTGGCCAAAGGGAAGATCTGTTATGAGAGAAGACAAAAGTAGCAGCGAAGATGTCCAAGTATCTACCCGATCAGGCCGTGCCAGGTGAATCCATGAATTCACAGGACCCAGTATATTAGAAACAGGGTTCGTGATTTCTTTTCTCACCAGAGCGTTATTTCACCTCCCATTATCCCAGTGATTGCACACCAGGCCTTTCCCAATTTTTGTTCACCGACGCAAACGAAAATTGAAATACATTGTTCAATAAAGCGGTCCAGTCGGTGGAAAACTGCCGGATGGTCGCAATTGTTTATACTGACACGAAAAATAAATTATTTTCCAAACATTCGTTTTTAATTTAATTTTTGATTGTTTTGTACTTTAAAAAATGATTCGTTCTCAGCTTAGTCGTATGAATACCAAATAGCAGAGACTGAATCAGGAAGAATATGTTGCGCCAAGTTTCCTAGTGTGGATGACTTTTTTTTATTGAAAATCTGCATTTAGAATTTTGGTTTGTATGCTTATGCCTTCTTTAAATGCTGTGCCTTTTCAGGACGTAGAAGATCATGACACACCACAGCATCCTTTTCTTTAATATCTGAAAATAGTGCACTGGTAGGATTATTAATTAGATAGTGAAGTGTTTATCAGTTGCCTTCTCCCCGGTTTGAATTCACTTGTCCTTCTAGACTGCTTGCCTTCCATAATTTGATGAAGGGAGAATAAATGGATTTTTTTTTCCCAAGGGTAATAGTGCAAAATGAGCTCAAACTGTTTCTGCCGGAATTGGTACTCGGCTCGCCGGTTCCATTTTAACTATTACTCCATTCACACCTATGAAATACCCGCTTCATTCGCCAAGTGGAAAAGCATAATTATCTTTTCTATTTTATCTGTATAATTTTTATGCGATATTTTCTTCACATCTCGTTTTATTATATTAAGCTGGTACTGACGCATATGACTGTAATAATTATTAGGCCGGTACTGACGTATATGACTGTAATAATTATTAGGCCTGTACTGGTGCATATGACTGTAATAAATTCCCTGCCAAAGAAGCCAAGTGATGATGCATATGAAGGCATATATAATCTATTAAACGTAACTGGTAATTACCAGAATAGAAAAATCATTGGCGAAATTAGTTTTGACTTGAAAATTAACTATAGCGACATTTCATGTTCTTAATCTTCGGAAAACATTTGAATACTTTTAAAATTTTAGATCGGGAGAAGAGGAATTCTGTTTTAGCATGTTTGTTCACAAATTGAACAAAAATATAAACAGAAAGCTCTACGTGACAAGAAGAGAATTGAAACAAAATGAACTGTCACGAACACATGAAACCAGGCGAGAAAATAGATTGAATGTTTATCATCACGCGTGTCCTCATTTATTTCAGATGTTTTTCACACAATATTTCAACTAGTTAAATCTTCTTCAGATGAGTTTTTCATGCCTTACATTTTTCAGATTTTCCATTTACTTTTTCCAGTTCAAACAAAACACATTTGAACAGAATGGCAAGGCTTAGTGACAAGGTCTCATGTTAATAGTACAAAGTAAATTTGGTAAAAACAAAACAATTGCAATATTTACCTGTAGGAAAACAAAAACAAGAAAGTAATAATGAAAATATTTCGTCCCAGAACTTCACAAAACATGTGCAAACCATTTTAGGCTCATTGATATTTATGGTGTTTTTAATTGAATCAAAAGGAATTTTTAAGATAAATATAGGCATTTATTTAATAATAATAAGTCTAACGGGAAAAGATTTTTTTTGTTAGATTTTTAACTTTATCCTAAAGAAATTTCTTTTATCAACCTAGAGATATATGTTCATAGTAATAAATATATATGTGTGTGTGTGTAAAATTTCAGATATAACTAAAAATAGATATGTAAAAGGAGAATATAAATAAAATCAAAAGAAAAACTTGTTTTAGCCGACGCGTTTTGTCCTCTGATGTACTTTATATAGACAAATGTAAGGATTTTATTTTACAAAAGGCATTTATAAACAGAAGTGAAATGGCGTTAGTTATTGTAGAACGATTTGAATGCAATGTTTTCTTTTCTTTACTTTTTTTTTTTTAAGCAATTCACCCCAAGCAAGGCAGGAGGAAAGGAAACAAAGAACAACGGGGAACAAGATCAAGGTATCAGATGTCGATTGACATTACACTTGAATATTTGAAGATTATAGTTATCAGGGAAGCAAGCAAGAGGAAGGGAGTTCCACAGACAGGAAGTGCGAGAGAAGAAGCTGTTTGAGTAGAAGAGACAGCTACATTTAACTGTTTCGACAGTGAAAGGGTGGCATCGAGATGCCATCCTGGTAGGTCCCTTAACTTCATGCAGTCTGGGAACCAGCGAAAGTAGCTCGTCGGAAGAGTTGCCGTAAAAATACTTGTAGAAGAGACAGAGGGAAGTCACGGCACGTCTGTGATAAAGCGAATGTAGACTGTATGCTTTCGTTTTTAATTTAATACTAGCAGTAAAACCCGGCGTTGCCCAGGAGTAAACTTGCTCTGAATGGAAGGTCATAACCGCCATACTCATTTTGTACACGCATGTAAGGCTGAAGTCTAGTAGAACTGATGGCCGCCCACGTAAAAAAACGTAATGTACACAAGTTGTCGGTATTCATCAACACAAAGGAAGAAAAATTGTAAGGCTTAAAAGGAAGCAATGGACAGCCATGGTAGCATCAGCCGTTTGGCATTACTAAGACAGCTCCAATTAAAAGTTGTCAAGTTCAATACGAACACGGGCCTTAGGAATTTTTGGGTGAGTTGTGACAGATGGCTTTGTATTCCGATGGGATAGTTTTATTATCCCTGAGTGCCAGACATGAAGCCCTGTGTCAGTTGCAACGTAGTAAAACGCAATAGCGTGAAAGGTAGACGCGTCTTTTGCCCAAAAGACGGCGCTGCCACTACCGCAAACAGAATCACATAACAGAAGTATGGGAAGGTGCCAGGGCGAGTACTTGTAAGTGGCACAATTTTTTTTGTAGTTTTTAATAGCCAGTTGAGGCGAGCATTAAGCGCATATAGCGTTACCTAAAGCAGCCCTTATGGGAGAAACACACCAACGGTGCACGGCAGAGAATGCATATTATAACTCTGCATGCTGCTATTCATTTATTATCCCATTTCTTTTTGCTGAGGCCTGAATTGCGTGGACGCACTCGACTTCTCTGACAAACGTATTGGTTTTGTGTTGCAATTGAATATGGTTACGTGGTCGACATGTAAGTGCGAATTCAACTATGGTGGGGTTTAAGTGATAAGGGAGCATCTGGTGAGCAAGACAACCTTTAATGAAATGTCTTATTAATGGCAAGTGGATACTACGACGACCTTTAAATAAACCGGGTTCAAAAATGAAGGAACCTACGATGCAACTGACATGAAGATGTGTACATTGCGTTTAAACGTGACCGGCCATGGGCTATAGGACTTCTGCGTAGGTAATATTTTTAGCTTTGTTTTTTGTAGAGTAAACGTAAACGTTATCCTTACTCCCAACTCGGGAGCAGCCTACATAAATAGCTGTCCATGGGCGAAACACTGTTCAATGCAGACCCGCGACGCTGAGCGTCTGTCCTTGCGATTTGGCCATTGTTGTTGAGCCGTGCTCGCCGTACCCCAGGGCTTTCTGAAGCTCTGGCAGACGCAGTAGCGCTGGTATTTCTTAAACGACGAATAGCGCTTTGTTGAGGTTGTTCCGAAACCCTGGAAGATGCTGTAGCCCTAGCATTCCTAAGACGACGCGAATTGGTTTGTTCTCAGGGCTTTCTAAACCTCTAGAACATGCTGTAGCGTTGGCATTCCTTAAATGCCAAAAGATTGTCTGTGTTGGGGACTCGGAAGCCCTGGCCCTAGAAACGCGTATTGCGTCCTGTGAATTCTGTACCAAACGCTCTTCAGTTGAAAGTCTAGCGCGTCGTGATGACATAACTGATGCCAGCCTTTCAGCGGTACTTTCCGTGGAAATGCGGGCAGCAGAGCATGAGGCCATCTAAGACAGGCGCAACGAAGTTTGTTCTGTGGTTTCACTTGCCCTTGCTGCTCTTTTAGTGGAGGCAGCAGCCGTACGCCGTCCAAAAAGTTTTCTTCTCTGAGGTGGTATTTTAACCAATTTTAAAAGGGCAAACGTAATATAAGGCATGTAGGTTTTTTGAGTGCAAAAAAATACGTGTAGTCTAAACGTAGGCAGGTTAGAGGGATCCCAAAAATGTATGTAACTGTATAAAAAGGGGATCAAAGTGAAGTTTAAAAAATTCAACTAAAGCTAAAACGGTAGTAGGTAATTTGGGAAATAAATTCGATAAACCCAGAAACGGATGTAGTTATAACTAAGAAGTAAAAAAAAAAAAACCGGTTGGATACGTTATGAACAACTTGCAGTTTCCGTAAGAAGTGAATGAAGTGAGCCAAATGCGGGACAGTAATCGCAGAAGTGTGAACACGCGTACGAGTTATGGTATAAAGAGGCGGTTGACCTTGAGCATAGATACTAAGGAGACGTACGTGCGCACGCGTACGTAATAGAACTGCTCGCGCGTATGATTGGATGGGCCCAAGGTTAAACGCTCGCAACCGTGCCAATGAGTTCGCAGCAACCTTGAACAGTTGACGCGATTGGTTAACCTCCAGCTTTGATGTATATAGCCTGACGTGTCTTTAACCGACTGGGCCACAGAGGAGCGTTTGTAAACAAATGACGTCAGACATTATGAAATGGACAAAGTCCGACAATTATGTTAAGACATTTTTATGTTTATACATTCTTTTTGTGATAGAGAGAGAGAGAGTCTGGGAAGCACACACACACGTATATTTTTTGTGAACTTGGAGTAGATTTGAATAGCGAAATTAAATCAGAGCATTTTGTTTATTGATGGGGAAATCTGATCTAGGGCAGAAGTTGTACCCATTGAATCTGGGTCATCAGGGGACAATGGAAATGGTCGAAATAATTTTTATCGATTAAAAATTGCAATAGAGCTGAGTAAGACAGAAGGAACTTTGAAATTCACATGATTTTGGTTGAAGCAGCCAGAACCCCGTGATAATCGTGTGCGAAGTAGTAGGGCCGAGGGTCAGTTATAACCAGCCGGGTTTATCTAATAAAAACGCGTAGTTATGCTGAAAAAGGCGCACTGGAGAAAATTCTTGAAGAGACTATTGGCCCGGGCGAGCGTTGGGAGGAGGAACGCCACTATAACTTTAAGCCCCACACAGAAATCTTTATCCCTCCATCGGAATATATCGTTATGAGACGATTTAACAACAAGATAATCACATACACACTCTCTCTCTGTCTAGAATCCAGTGTATGAGTTTTTTTTTTACTTTTCTTTTCTGTAACCCGTTTCTCTTCTCTACTATTCTTTTTCTGCTATATAAAAGGCATTAACAATTCAACCATTGAATCGATGTTTGTCCGGCTTTCTGCAGATATTAATTTTTTTTTTTTTTTTTTTTTTTTGCTGCATTCTAAATTTCTTAGTGCAGACTCCCCAGCCGTGTCTACATCTTCAGTCGACCGTGAATGGACGGACATCACTTCTGCTTTCTGGATCAAACAAATCACAACGTGGGCAGGAAGCAGGATTAAACCAGTGGACCGGTCGAATAATCTACGGATGCTCAGGGGACCTATGCCAATTCTCTTAAGTTCGGTTAGGACCAAGTAGACACCTCAACCCAGAGAGTCAGACGTCGGAGGTTGAGGGGCTGGGGCAAAAGTGTTAGATTTTTATAGATACAAACATTTAAGTAAATGCTCTGTTTATAATAAACAAATACAAACATTTACCGGCCTGAATGTCCGAGAAATTTTTAGAGAAAATATTCGTCCTCCGACAGGAATCGAACCTGTATCCTATACGGAACCGTCATATAGCCTGACGAGCCTTTAACCGAACGCTCCTCTGTGGCCCAATCGGTTAATGTATAAACATAAAAATGTCTTTTTATATATATATATATATATATAATGAGAACGAAAATAAATTCTAACGTTCACAGCTCAATACCAAGAGTAGAGCAATAAATTGTTTTTGTCCGCATGTAAAAATCCATAATAAATTATATATATATATATATATATATATATATATATATATATATATATATATATATATATATATATATATATATATAATGAAATACAATAGCAATGCAGTGCATAATTTACATTTCTTTAAATACTTTCCATTGAATGCTGAACATATTTTATTTTTAAGTAATTTTTTTACATATGATTTGTGGTTAAATTTCACTGGAAATCTGTTACGCACCCTGCTTCCTAATTAACTGCTAAAAGAATGACGCCAACGAGACCCCCTAATGGCAAGTGTAAAAAAAGATTCTCCTAAACACTGATATCTACACCAGCATTATTTCCCTTTACAATGATTTATAAGAAACAAAGCTGCCATTTTTGTTATGAATTCATTCAGGGGTACATTTTCATCCAAATCCCACATAGAAGTTTCAATAAAAACAGGGAACTTATTTAAATCTACTGAGATTATGAGGAAACTGAAGCCATACGCTTTCTGATTTGAGTGTTGGGTGTTATGTGCGTACGAACCATGAAGCTATAACTCTATATTAAACCTCAAAATTTTCTAATGCTAGAATTATAAAGCTATACCGTGGATGTTAGATTTGATAAATGTTGATAACAGTATCCAACTTACATGTATCTGAAATCAATCGTTGAGACCAGCTTCTCAGGTTCCTGTAATTAAAATGAATACCAAAGAAATTCAAGATTATAATTGTTTTATGAACAGAATCTGTTAAATGCTGCGTTTGGTTTATACTTCATTAGATTTTAAAAGCACTGTGCAAAAATCTAAATAAACTCGTTATGTCACATAGAAAAAAGGTCGGTGACGCTACGAAGGAAGGGAAAAGTCACGAAATATGAACGGAGTAGCGAGGTGCTACGATAATATATATATATATATATATATATATATATATATATATATATATATAAATTAGATTTAATAATCAAACCAATTAGCAATATTAATGCAATTATTGGCGAAATCCCTTCGCTAGTAGACATAATTATAAGCATTATACTACTAATAATCCACTGAATGATGAGATCCTTATGTATATATATATATAGAGAGAGAGGTAGATAGATATATATGTATATATATATATATATATATATATATATATAGATATATATAGATATATATGTATGTATAGATAGATAAATAGATCGATAGATAGATAGATATGATATACATAAAATAAAAAACAGGTTTTGATTTGAAATCTTGTGATGTTTCTAACGAAACTCTAACGTGTTAAGAATTTAAAAGTTATAATTAACGTTCGTTCGTTCCGAAAGAATATAAATATAATAAGATTTGATAATAAATTCAACAGATTTCAAACATCTGGCTCTGATGAGCACTAAAACGCGAAAATTTGAGTCGGATAACAAGGTAAGTCAATCACTTAAACTTTTATTGATTTATTACGTATATATATATATATATATATATATATATATATATATATATATATATATATATCGTAGCGCCTCGCTACTCCGTTCATATTTCGTGACGTTGTCCTTCCTCCGTAGCGTCACCGACCTTTTTTTCTATGCGACGTAACGAGTTTATTTAGATTTAATGATAAACTATATTTTTCTTATATGTTTGATTATTGAGGCACAATCTAAAGAGTTCTTTTGAATAATTCATAGCATTGTTAGCAAATCCTAGCAAATCACTATTTAATTATTAACTATAAAGAAATTATGAAACTTTACGTCTGTTGACACAACCCTCTTCCAATAAAATATGTCACCTTTCGCTGACGAGAAGGGACGGAGAAAAAGAGAGGGGATGATCTATACTGTGACCAGGATACTTTAACATGGGGTCTGTATTATTTACTTTATTTTGTCTGCTAGTTGGAAACATTTTGTGTGAAGGTGTGTGTCATATTCTGAAGCTAAGTGTTTTGGAACATTTTGATTGTGTCTACCCAAATTAAAATTGGCCCCTCAGCTCTCTAATTCCGCATGGTTATGCGCAATACACTCGTCCCGGCGTTCCCATTTCAAAACCTATCGAATGATATAATTCGTACAAAGCTGCTGCCAGCTATTTGTCCTGAGACAACCATTTTCTGCCATTTCATTGGCTAATTCTTGCGGCCAGCTATAAGTCCTGATGTCAAACAACTTGAACCGTAAGATTGTTTGAATTCTACGGACAACCCCTGTTTTGTCATAGGACTCTACTGACTTTAATTCAAATATCAACTCTTCTCGTCGAATTAGGTGCATATCCTTCATTTATCTTTTGGTGTGTTATATCATCTTTTTGTGCTCTTCCGTACATGAACTTTATCTATTACCAATTTGATACATGTACTCTTGTCAACGTTCAATTCTGAATTTGTACTTTTCCATCGATGAATTTTTATTACTGTCAATTTAATACATGAACATTTTTACTAGGTTCGTTTTCAAACATGAACTTTACTTTCCATCTCGTCGTATATGATACATTTCATCTTTGATTGATTCTAAAGATCTTTGTTACGTTTTAATAAGTGTATAAATTTTATTGTAAAATTTCTTTCAGGAACCCTATTTCACGTTATTATTTGTTACGTGGATTTTATGTTAACCTTGTTCCGTATGGGACCTTTGTTCATCTTTTTTTTTGAGTTGTCATCTTTTGATTCCTTTGATTTAATCGGAACATTAACCACATTCTGCATTCAATTTAATTTATTTTTACAATATTAATGTAAACTCTTTGTTATTGTTGTCCTTGTTTATTGACCTGTCAGCTATACGTTTTGTTTTTCTTTTAAATGTTTGCAGGCCTCATTTGATTAATTTAATCAAGGCGCATAGACCACATCCCTTCCCATCCCCTTCCTTGCGGGCGTCCGCAGCAATATATTGCCTATAATATATTTTCGTACTTACGGTATATCGAAGCAAGTGTAACACTTCTCACAATCACAGCTTACCTTTCCAATCCCGTTTTTATTAATGCTTATCTTGGAATTCCCCCCGCCATTCAGTGGCTCAAAAACAAATTTAAATAAATAAAATATACTTTCCTCAACCAGCATCTAGCCACTGACAACAACGATTTCCCAGTGATGGGGACGAGGAGGAGGAGGAGGCATTGCAAAAGTTTAAACATAATAGAAACGGACAGATATTGGAGTAATATTTCTCAAAGAATCTTTGAGAAACAATGCCACTATAAAAACGAGGCCTCTACCCTCTCACTAGAAGTAAGTGCAATGGATGCGTGCACCCGGGAAGTAGTATATTTATCGATACCCAGTGATCGTTATTTGTTATTTTCTACAGCTTTCAAGTTTTAAGCACATTTCTTTTTTCATCTTCAAGTCCTGGATAGGCAAATGTTACTGTAGGCTCCTAGTTTCCTCACAAAGTAAATTAAAATCAATAATTTGGTGTTCCTGAGAGTTTGTACATATAGCTTATGGTATTATTTTACTAAAAATCTAATACTTTAAAATTCGAAAAGAAAAGTTGTTTTGTGATCTTTAAAAGAATGCTATTTTTGCGCTTGTGTATTTCAGCGGTTTTAAAAGATTTCAGACTACCCGTAGATGTGAGGTTAGAGTTTTATTTTTAAATTTGGAACTTTATGGATTTCGAAAATGATCCCATGACAATATTTGCCACATGGAAGAAAAAAGATTTTTCTTGAAATTTATATTCAATTAAAAATTAGTGCATTATTTCAAAAGTTATTCAAATGACCGTATTTAAAATATTTTATTAGAATTTCTACATTGATTTTCTATAATCTTTCTACTTTTTTCAATAAATAAATAATTTCAAAACGTAAAAGAACAAAACAAATACTTTTGGTGATTTAAAAAATAATACAATAGTTCACATAAGGAAGCAATATTTGGTAAATAACATAAAACGAATGCTTACCTTACAGATTATAGCAAATAAATATTGTTCTATACGCAAACTTACCATATCAGTTAAGAGTTTCCATAAAGGCTGAAAGAGAAAAGCAGATATTAATGAACAAACCAGAGAGAATTTTTAGTAGTCCATGTAAGCGTAAACGTTTCCCCACTTAAAATAAAAACAAACACTAACTTTATATTCTATGTAGACATCGAGCGACACACACATGGTTGTTGGCGGTTACTTAAGCATGAAAATTGTTAGAGTCCACGCCGCACAGCTGACCCTATCTATAGCATAGACGTCTTGTCTTGTTTAAAATCACACACACACACACACATATATATATATATATATATATATATATATATATATATATATGTATGTATGCAAAGAAGATATTGTTGGAATAAATTTTCCTTTCTCTTTCCCAAATTAGTATTAGCTTGGCTGGCCATGTGACCATTATCGGCTTTTCAGTGGAGCCCAGTCTGTACAGTATGAAGTTTTTGGGGAGACAATGCGAAGAGAACTTCATTTTCTGATGTGTGGGTAAACGCAGCCTCTAGAAAGATGACGTGCTGGATTTGTACGTAAGGGTAACTTTTGTAACATCTACTAGCTTTTCTTTTTAGAGTCGGGCAAAATGTATGTAACACATTTCTGCACTTTATTAGTGTGTTCTCTTTCTGGAAAATAAAAACATCATTTACATTCTTTCGACATCTCACCAGCCGTTTTTTTTTTTATTCTTTTTTTATGTTTCGGTGCATATCTGTACCGATAGCAAATACTATCAAGGTTGCCCACTTGTATTTTGAAAACTCAATAATATTAATTCCCATACACCAGTAGCTGTCACATTTTATCTCAGGTGCGCGTTGAAAATGTATTATTGTAATTTAAGCAAAAATAAACAGTTTAAGTTTGTACTTAGAGAAGTATGGTTCACGACTTACTTTAATGTTTACGAAGTTGCTGCTCTTTGACTTGTTTTCACTTGTCGTTTGAAGAGAATATTCTGTAGTTGGAGTAAGTGATTCTTAACAAGCTGTGTTTATGTTAATTGCAATAATTAACGTTGAGCTTGAAAGTGTATGACAAAGTTTCGTGTATCAAGTTGAATGTGGAAAACTTGAGTTGATTGTTCGTGATAAAATATTGCTGTGTGAGTGAGTGTTCTTTTCAGGCTTAAATCGTGTTAAGGAACTTTAACGTAAAGCCTGGAACTGTGTGACGAGTTCAAAGGATTCTGATCGGCTCACTGTCGAGAATGAATGACATTTCATATTTATTGCTAACTTTGGTCACGTGGTAGGTTCACAGGGGATTGAAAGATTTTGGCGGAATTATTTTTTGGCCAGGTCAAGAACTAGGTCGATGTTATTCGAACATGACTTAAATATTAAGTGATCAATCAGAAGTTGAGATTTTCTGAAAATAGGTATTAAGCTGAATAAGCTCTGTGATCCACTTTTTGCACAGATTTGTGCAAAAATTGATATTGATAAAAAATGGTGGTAGCGGGACGCTAAAAGCTTATAAAGTAGAATTTTTTTATATATTTATCATATTTTTTTTTATATTTATACTTTTATATTTATAATATTTATTATTAAAATAGAATAGAAATAGGAAATATAATTACCTTGCCTTCAATCTTTGCCCAAATATCCCATAATGCATTTACAATGGCGGCTGTGGCAAGATGGATGACACCTTTTTCGGGTCCAATCTGCAAAGATAGATAATCGTTTCGAGTGAGAGTAAAAAGAAAAGCTTTCATTTTACTCTCTCTCTCTCTCTCTCTCTGTCTCTGTCTCTCTCTCTCTCACACACACACACATGTATATTGTATTACTTGATAGCAAATGAATTAAGAAAAAAAAATATCGTCCCTGTCGTAATATCCAGATATGCGTAAAAAATTTAAAATCTTAGTAAAAACAATAATATCAAAATTATATGAAAAAAGTATTAAAACATTGAATTGTGCAAAAATTAATATACAAACTATTTTGTGTTTATATTGGATTGTATTAAAAACTAGTTAAGAAAATTAGAATATACTAATATATATATACATACATGAATAAAAATTGTGTAAAGATTTAAAGAAAAAATGGCTCCAAATTGATGTTATAAAACCCCGTCAAAATGAAGGCAGACATCTTAAACTTTCTGTGGTAAAAAGGATGTGCCCGGTTTTCATGTTTTTGAAATCAGACAAATTTGAATTGAAAACTGGCACGGTTTGATTGGATGTTAACTCTCTATTTTTTTAACCAATGGGGGTAAAAAGTATAGGCCTCATAAGGAATTGTGTTTGCTATATGAAGGAAAATGTCGACTGCAAAAGCAGAAAGGAGTAGACCACTTTCGCAGGAAAGGCTGCTACTGAGAAGGCTGTCATCAGGCAAAAAGGTTTCATTTTCTCGATGTGTAAAGTTTGCTACTGCTGAGAAAAGAAATAAACCACGCAATGACCTGAAATGATAAAAACTACTACTGTTACTGACAAAAAAGATAGTAGAAGAATTTTCTAAATTTTCATAATACGTATAACTTTCATAGACTTGTTACAAAAATTGAAGACGTCCCTTCCAAAAATTTGGACATTCGTCAAAAGGACCCCGAAAAGCCGCATCATCGAGGTAAGCCAATTTTTACTCATTCACTTTTGAACTTCTACTTTCTCCTCCAAATTTCAACTTTCAATCTCCAATGAATTATGAACTTTTCAAAGTAAATTTCTTTTGTAACTAAGAAATTGATTTATATGAACTTTTATTTTTGCTCTCAAAGGAATTTGCAATAATCCCTTTATTGTTATGGAAAACATTTACTTTACACGAACTGTAATTCTCCAAGAGACACCTGATTTGTATTTGAAAGAACTGTTAACCTGCCATGATAATTTGAGGCGAACAGGGGAAATCTTGTCCAAAGTCTATATTGCAATTTGTATATTGAAAAATATTTTCGTCATTGCAATAAATGTTTGCTTCTCTGTAGATTTCACACCAGAATAAGATAGACACTGAACGGTGAGTATTGTATTGTGGAATCTTTTTTCGCTTGTTTGTAATATTGTTTATTATTAGGTAGAAAATAATGTTTGTCCTTTTTTAATATGCTATCTATGTGGGTTTTGTAATCGTGTTGGGAATAGGGTTCATTTCCTATAAACAGAAAGAATCAATATATATAAATATGTGTGTGTGTGTGTTTTTTGTTGTTGTTTTTTCATTTGCATTATTTAAAATACTCGGTGTAAGAGATCTGACATTGTTTCTTCTCTCTTTTCTCTCAATAAATCCTTTTAGGTGTTCTTTGTTATCAAATGAAAAGACTTCAATAAGATTCACTAAAAAGGCAGAGATATTGTTTTTCAACCACTGATGAAAAACATTTGTATTAGTGATTAGTCTGACTAGAGCTTCGTGCAAGAACACAAACAACGGGGTTTTCATTTCTATTCTTGGACTCAATGCCAATCAGTATTATATGAACTTACCCATCTCATTTGGTCTTCACTTGTAAGTCGGCGCCAAAATGAAGCAAAATCATCAAGAATATCTTTCACTTTCGTTCCAATCACTAACTTACTGAGGGCCTCTACTGCACAGCATACTAACAAATTAAAAAGACAGAATGTATGCAAATTTTTATACAAAAATATGAACTGTAAAGACATATATAACACAATATGCTTAGGGTAGTAATAAAATCAAAGGAATAAAAAGTTCGAGTAATCAATAATTAGCATGAGGTAACAGTATAAATCGTACCTAACATTAACTAATTAAGTTGGATAAAATATAAAAAAATATAATTCCCTACCAAATTCAAGTTTTTTGTGCCAGACACAAAACTTATTTGGTAAAAGCAGCAAGTCACTGTAATAGGCACAAAATTACAAAACAAGACCACTGCGTAAAATCTTAAAAAAGGTAAAACACATTTATTTTACAATGTTACAAAAAAAGTACCAATAAGGTTGCACAAAAATTTCTTCTTGTGCGCCTATAACAGCAGGATAACAATTTTCTGAAGTTACAAAAAGAGACAACCATCAGATATAAGGAAAAAAGTGTTACAATTTTTAGAAAAACTTAGAGGGAGCAAAAAATTGCACATGGCAGAAGATAAAAAAACTCACCCACCTCCGTTCTTAACTGAATACTCAATTATAAGACGCCTCAGCATAAAGGGGTTTACGTGTTTTTACAAGTTGTTATCTTGAGGGCCTTTTGAAATATTTTGCTGGAAAGTTAACTTGAAAGTTCTTTTGGCTTAAATTCTTCTCGGGAAGACACAGAAAGGAATGTTCTGTCTTGAGTTTGAATCTGTCGGCTTTTCTTTCCCGGTGTTGATTTATGACCCCCACCTCTCGACCGGACGAGTCCTCTTGGAGCGTGGGCGTTAATGCCTTCTTCCTCTACCGTTAACTGCTTTACCAACGGTTCTTTCTTTCTCTGCGGTTTATCCGCTCATTGCAGTCCTTTTTATTGAAAAAAAAAAAAAGAACCGTCATATCAGGTCATTTTAAGTTTTCACAAGGGTTACAAGAGATCGTCTCTCATTGGCCAATACATATGAAACCTTTCTCCAAGAATTCGAAAAACGAATCCGCGACAATTCAACAAATGATTTCGGTCAAATAGGCCATAAAAAATGTAACAATTTTGACACAAACCGCCTGGCCTTCATAAATATACGCTTCTCTCAAAAAACGTGAATTAAAAAAAAACAAAAAAAACCCTGGACGATATAAATATAATATTTAGACGACTATAACATTTTTAAAATAATAAAAATATTCTCTTATAAAAAGTATTATACAGGTTGAGTATCTTTTATCCGAAATTCCCAAATCTGAAAACCACCAAAATCCGAAAGCTTTGCAGTTGCTGACATGACTTGCCACAAATGGAAACATTTCAGAAAGTACTGGGAAGGTTCCTAGATGATGCACAGCTGTTGTAAATGACCTCATCAGCCCAGTTACGTAGTCTACGTTGGTGACAGTTTTTTTTTTTTTTTTTTTTAGCGATCGTCACAGCAACACCTTCGTTCGTGGGTTACTTACCAGGTGTTTCGTGCTCAGTAAAGATATTATTCAAAATGTCAAAAAGTCCTGCATTTATATATTTTGTGTAAGTAGTGATCATGTTTTTGGTACACGTACAGAAAGTACAAAACATTATCTTAATTTCACCACTTAAAAATCCGTGTGAGTATTACATGACTAGCGGCTTTTTAAGTGGTGAAATTAAGATTTCAAAGAACTATGTTCCTCCCATTTGCTATCTCATCCAAATTTAGCATAGTTTTATATAAACAATCTATTTTCAATGCAGGTTTAGTCGTCAAACTCAACATACCACTGAAAACGGTTTACAGCTCGTAATATTATACAGGTTGAGAATCCTTTATTCGACATTCTTGAAATCGGAAGGGCTTCGGTTTTTAGATTTTTTCGGATTTTCGAACAGGCTATTTGGTTTTTATATAACATCTATGAAATAAGGTAGCTTGTGTATGAATCCCAAGCATAAATGCAATATCCCTTTACATTTCATAACATTTCATAACACAGCTTATATATATATATATATATATATATATATATATATATATCTTACTTATTATAAAACGCAGATTGTGTGTGTGTGTGTGTGTGTGTGTGTGTGTGTGTCTGTAACGTTTATATGTTGGATCGAATTTCCTACATTTTTTAGCCGATTTCAACAAAACTTCACAGGACTACATAAAATTACCTTGTGGTGGTTCTAACGGCACCGAAAATGGGAAAAACACAGTTGTTTTTTAATAAAATCATTTTGAAAACACGATTAAGACACATCGTGAGAATGAAAGGGGGACAACTCACCGACGAAAATGTAAACAAAAGAGCATAGCATGATGAAAAAGACGCCGAACTTGACGAAAACAAAATTTTATCGTCTAATGTTCATATTATTATTAAAGAGGAAAGATCAAAGTATTTTGGGGTATTTTTTACATTTTTAATCGTTCCTAGCACATCTGAAATTTTCGTTAAAAATATTGTTTTTTTTTTTTGGTCAAAAAAAAAGGACAGATAATCATTTTCAATCATTTTTTCGATTTGATTATAAAGATTAAAATCTTACTTTGATATTCTTTTAAAAATCAATTATCATTTTTTTTCAAAACTGATTTTAATAAAAACAGAAATTATACTGTTTATTTAAAATATTTTGAAGCAAGCTTAACTTAGCTCCTGCACCGAAAAAATGTAATTTGAAAATAAAACAAAGCAGGTCATAACCTTTCGCGTCGCTTGACGATTGACGAAAGGCACATTCATGACGTTTAGATAACTTACGGGAGGAGAATTCTTTCTACGGATGGAAGGAAGTGAAATTATTTAAGTGAACAAATTATTTACCTTGTTACTTTTAAGGAAAACTTTCAGCGCTCTAATTTTTTATTTTTTATTTTTTTTAAATTTTTTTTGTACTTAGCTTTCATTTTTACGTTTACGATGCTTTATGGAAAATATAAAGAAATTAAAAAATAAGACTGTTAATAGTGAGATTAAATTTCATAAGAAAAAGGTATCTAATTAATTTAGGTACCTTTCTTATGAAATTTTATCAGAAGTGTACATAAAATACTATAATTTTATGTACATTTATTACATTTTACTGTGTTATTTGTATTTCCATTCATTTTATTATTAATTTTGATATTTCATTTATGGAAAAATGTCATAACTGAGATTAATATAAAAAATAAGATCATATAAATTAAAGTTTAGCAGTAGTTAAATTTCATAAGATGATACTGTTACTTGTAGGTACCCTTCTCAGTTGAAATTGAAAAACTCAAATTAACTTCTCCATACGTGTTTCGCAAAAGTAAAGGGCTTAACAGCGGAGAACAATGCTGAACTCAAATAATGCAACTAAATTGTATTCTGGTTGGTCTTCCGTACTTGATAATTACTGTCCGACTATAAACACAAAAATTACATTTCTTAATTACCATGGCTAATCTGATTGGTCCAAATTATACAATTTTCAAAGCACTAGATAATGACAATCTCACATGGACATTTTGAAAGGTTGATGTTGCTTTTAACTAATGTTAAAATATTTTTAAAATTCAATTTAAACATTTTTTTAAAAATCTTTTAAAATTAAAGTAATAAGAAATAATTGTATTAAAAATTCAATTTTCATTGAAAAAATTTTTTGCTTTCAGAAAATATTGTCCATATTCATAAAAACAAATTAAAACAAATAAAAAGCATTTGAAACTAAATAATATATTTGTTTTATTGAGTTTTGTATGTTACAATTCACAGCTGATTTTCAGACGTTGGCCAAAAAAAAAAAAACACAAAAAAAAAAAACATGATTTGCATTCTTCAAAGCCTTGTGCTTTTAACTATTGTAATCACTAAAACCGATGGTCTCGAATTTCTAGAGTTTTTCATAAAATTAGTTATGGGGTGTTAATAAATATAAAAAAAATATTTCTGCCAGGACTTTAATAAAAAAAAAACATATTTATAATAATTTCGATCATCTGTGAATAGTTTCTGAAAGTTTCATTAACATCTGACAATTATTTTTATTTTTGCAAGATTTTCCAAATTAATGTGTGTAAATACAAAAAAAAACGCGGTAAAAATTATCTATGTTATTTACTACCACTTGTTGCGACAAAGAGAAACAAGGTTTTTTAAATCAAAATTTAGAATATTCTAAAAAATGGAAAATTTTTTAAAAATAATTAAAAAAATTTAGTCTATCCTCTTCAAAAAAACATAAGCATTTTGACGATAAAATTTTGTTTTCATAAACTTTGGCGTCTTTTTCATCAGACTATGCTCTATGTTTTAGCGATTCCGTGGAGTGACTTAGGTTAAAAACCCAGGTTGTTTGTGTGTGTGTGTGTGTGTGTGTGTGTGTGTGTGTGTGTGTGTGTGTGTGTGTGTGTGTGTGTGTGTGTGTTGTGTATATGGGATCGGATTTCTTTCTTACATTTTCAGCCGATAAAACAAACATCCATTTTTTTTTTTCGGCAGGTAGTATTTTTATTGTCTTGCACACTTTTTTCTTTATTTACATTCAGAATGCTTTAAAAATTCTATTTACAAGACAATTGTTTATAATAAAATTCTATTCACCAATCGATAGACTCATAACGATTGTAAACAATGTTTTTGTTTGAATTTGGGTTTGACCAATTCGTAAAAAAAAAAAAAAAAAAAAAAAACTAATTAAGACATGCGTGTCCGTCAACCTTAAACAATAATCTTTGTCAATTTTATTTTTCAGTCTTTATGATGGTCGATACTTGATCTATCTCTTACTGTTACATCCCCGGGCAACGCCGGGCTCTACTGCTAGTATATATATATATCCTGCAGGTAGATTTATATAAATAACATATACCCTGAAAGTAGTTTTATACAAAATTTAATAAATTTTGGGTACATACAGATACAGATAAGTTAATTGGCGCTGTTGAAGTCTGTCAAAAGACAAACATTTTCCTTCCTTTTTTCTATTTCTCCGCCTTGCTCCAAGATGTAGCAAGACGTTAATTTCTCTGGTCCTCTGACGATTGAAATC